TGTGTTATTGACTATTTGCTAGGGCCATTGATACCATGGGTGCCAGCAAGGGCCACTGCAGCTGCAGAAGCACCAACGAGAAGCGGTAGCAAAATCAATGGTTACTGGAACTCTCAGTAGACACAAGAGGGGTAGTAGAACCCAAAGCTATGGTAGAAGTAGTAGAAGTAGTAGTAGTAGTAGTAGTAGTAGTAGTAGTAGTAGTAGTAGTAGTAGTAGTAGTAGTAGTAGTAGTAGTAATAGTAGTAGTAGTAGTAGTAGTAGTAGTAGTAGTAGTAGTAGTAGTAGTAGTAGTGGCAGCAGCAGGAGTAGTAGTAGTAGTAGTAGTAGTCGTAGTAGTAGTAGTAGTAGTCGTAGTAGTAGTAGTAGTAGTAGTAGTAGTAGTAGTAGTAATAGTAGTAGTAGTAGTGGTAGTAGCAGTAGTGGTAGCAGTAGTGGTAGTGGCGGTGGTAGTGGTAGTGGTAGTGGTAGTGGTAGTGGTAGTGGAGTGGTAGTGGTAGTGGAGGTGGTAGTGGTAGTAATGGTACCAGTATTAGTGCTAGTAGCAGTAGCAGTAGTTGTTGTGACATTAGTGGTAGCAGCAGCAGCAGCAACATAGTCCTACTCGTAGTAGTAGTCGTAGTAGTAGTAGTAGTAGTAGCAGTAGTAGTAGTAGTTGTTGTTGTGGGGTAATAGAAGGAGTAGTAGCAGCAGTGGCAGCAGTAGCCGTAGCCATAGCAGTAGCATCAACGGTAGCAGTAGCAGCAGCAGCAGCCTAGTCGTCGCCGGAGTCATGGTCGTAGTCGCAGCCGTCGTCGTTGTCGTCGTCTTAGCAGTAGTAGGTGGCAGGAGTAGGAATTGGGGAAGCAGCGTAGTCTTAACCGTCGTAGTAGGAGTTGGAGTAGGACAAGGACTAGGGGTAGTAGCAGTAGGAGTATATAGTAGTAGTAGTAGCAGTAGTAGTAGTAGTAGTAGCAGCAGGAGTAGTAGTAGTAGTAGCAGTAGTAGTAGTAGTAGTAGTAGTAGTAGTAGTAGTAGTAGTAGTAGTAGTAGTAGTAGTAGTAGTAGTAGTAGTAGTAGTAGTAGTAGTAGTAGTAGTAGTAGTAGTAGTAGTAGTAGTAGTAGTAGTAGTAGCAGTGGTAGTCGTAGTCGTAGTCGTAGTCGTACTAGCAGCAGTGGGACGCTCCGGTTGTGGAGCTGTTCTCCTCGGCCGCGGTCGTGCCTCATGTAGGTATAGTTGCTACTCATAATGCTCTGGTTATCCTGAAGACGAGTATTACTTCAATTGATCTCGTTTCGTATTGACAATACCACTGCCTTCGATTGTTAGAAGGCCACCTTGCGTTGTCTGGCGCCATCCGCCCTCCAAGTCGGATGTGGTGTTGGATGGCATTTCGATGCGCAGGAATGGCTTCAGTATGCTGTTGGGCTGCCGTGGCTTACGCAAAACCCATCTGCCCTCGCCCCGAAGTACTCGACAATGCAGCTTCATCAACAAAGCTCAGCTTCGACAAACTCCAACTTTTGTGTTTGCCTCGACGTAGGATGCTGAGATAAATGATAACTGCATGTCGAAGCTTTGAAGCAAAACTGAAACAAGCTATTGCGGCTCCGTTCTCAAAACAAGTGAGTAGGGGACCTCAGGCAGGGTCCACGATGTCTCCTTTGTGGCCTGCATCACTGCTATAACCCTAAAACCCTTCTTCGGGCCAAGGCGTGGGAGTACGTAGGGGACTAGGTGAGGGTTGAGGGGGCTTCGGTGCTTCGATGTGGCTGTAAAGGACTGAGAAGGGTTTAGGTACCATATGGAAGTTGCTTTTTGGGGGCTCTGGGCCCTCATCTCCTCGCAAAGTCAAGGGTTTTTTCGGCTCCTTTCAAGCTGTGGGCGTAACCTTGGAGTGAAGCTCCTCGGCTCTTGCTAGGTCGTTCTTTAAACTATGACTTGTTGGTCCCAAGCCTGTGCCGCGAGGACATTGAATCTTGAGTCTCAAAGTTTGCCTTTCTGCGCCTGACATGTGGAGCATGTGCTTGACACCCAATCCGTAAATCCAAAATCCTGTCCATGCCTCGTTGTAGTAGTACACTGTCCCATCAGGCCTATCAAGCTGGAGGACCGTGCAGTCTGGGATGCTTCGGCGAGAGCGTAGCCTATTTCGTGGTCATGTCGTGTTTTCAGAAGCCATTGGCGAAGATTGTCATAGCTTGGGCTATCTTCTTTTGTTCATCTACTTCGATACTATACATGACATGCGTAAAGACTCACACGCATGCATGCATACATAATACTTGCATGCATATGTATGCATACATACGTACATACAGAAAGATGTATACTTACAGACAAATTCTACCGTGCACCTTCCCGACAAAGAAACTTCATGGCCGTCTGGAGTCGATGGTACGGCACCAAGATTTCACGATTTCAGCATCACAGCATCCGCGTGGGGCATAGCATCATCACTGTCATCACTCGCGATGTATAGAGTATAGAGCTTGCGCAAGCGAACTGTGCAGCACCCAGTCTCCTTCGGCTCAAGCAAACACTGACATCAGCCCGAGGAGCCACGACGTACCGCCGTCAAGTCCAAATTGGCTCGGGACAAGCATATCTGCCTGCGTCCGAACCCTAGGAAGCCTAAATAACTTCACTCCCGCCTCCCGACACCCTGCCCGAAAGCAGGAAAGCCAGCCGCACACCCTCTCCCGCTTCTCCCGAAAAGCAAAGGACACCAAGAACAGATCGGTACGGGGCTTTAGGAAGGCTGGGAGGGCACTAGAATGCCACGAGTTTAAGTTTCAACTCTCTCTCTCTCTCTCTCTCTCTGTCTCTCTCTCTCTCTCTCTATCTCTCTCTCTCTCTCTCTCTCTCTCTCTCTCTCTCTCTCTCTTTCTAGTATACTCCTACGCGCACCAAACCATCAAACCGGTCCATTTAACCCCAAGGCCAAACACCTTGCAAAAGCCCTGGAGACGGACTGAGAGTCGTGCCCAGCGGCCCCCCGCCAGCGCCCTGGGATTTCAGGCAAATTCTGAATCAAATTCTTGTAAACCATAACAGAAAGTAGCTGATTGCAGGGTCCCTCTCACTCATTATTTTGATACATGTTGTCTATAGGGTTTAGACTAACAGTCCCTCCGAACAAGTACGTTGATTACTGCGGTCCAAGGTAAATTCTGGCGTTTGAATGGGCTGGGCTGGTGGTCGCTGTGGGGGGTTCCGAGTGCTGGTCCAGCTTCTGGTAGCTTCATATCGAGGGTGCATTGACTATAAGCCCTACGCGGAACAAGCTGCGTGGTTTCCGGTTGTTGGGCCTTCAGGTCGAGCCTTAAGGTTTCGGGACAATTTCGAAACCAGGCGGGGCAAGAGCTGCGAAGCTTCAGTCTGACAAACATGCGCGATGGATAGGATACTTCTTGGAAGACAGAAGAGTCTGGGGAGGCCGGGGCCGAGACACTGGGGACGACCTGGTTCACAGTTTTGACAGACGGATACCATTCAACAGAAATCCTTCAGACGTTCTTCTCCCAAGGTAGCTAACGGGTCCAGCATGAACCCACGAAACCCAACGAAGACCTACCTGGTTGGAACCCGCCTGCCGAGGATTGCGGAGTTTCCTTCACAGCCTCGGTGGCAGATGCCATCCTTTCTTCAAAGAATTCACTGAAACGGTCACTAGGCATCGGGGCTTGAAAGGGCTTCCAAAAACAAGAGGTCACAGGGACAACTAGCAAATGTCCTGAACTCCGAGACCAAACAGACATCTCAGAGCGCTGCTTCGGGAAGTGTCCAAGAAGTTTCACCGGTTTCCTGAACGGCACATCAACAGCTTTTGGGATTCGTTTGGGTGTAGGCGTGTTAGGGTTTAGGACTTTCAACGATTTGTTTCGGGTGTAGGGTTGAGTGGTTGCCGTGCCACCTTTTGAGTATTCTTGATTAATGTACCTAGTATCCATCTGGATATCCAAGCTGCAATGCTGCAACCCTGACATCCCAAGTCCCAAACCACCCCTGTTACTAAACCCAATCGACACAAAATCAGTCCAGGCCTCGTTGTAGTAGTACATGTCGCCATCTTCCCTGGGACTGATGCGTACAATGTAGCAGGGCTGCGCTTGTGGGCTACAGATCTAAGGCTCTTGGGGTGGTTTCGCTCAGCTTCCCTCATGTTCTCTCTAGAACAGCGCATTCAGGTTCGACCCGTAAGGGCATAAAGTAGACACGTGGAGAGAACTGAGCTGTTCCAGATTAACTGCTGTAGTGTACCTTTCGTAGAAGGCAAATGACGTCCCAAGTAAACTTTGCCGGCACTCTCAACCTCAGCGTGGAGCGAATCACATTGGATTCTTACCCTCCCACCTGCAACAGCAGATACGCACGTGGTTCAATTGGAACCTGAAAGGCCCGGGGCAGATTCCTGGTTCCAATTTCACGAAAGCCTCTAACTTCCAATCGCACGGGTCTGCGATTAAGCGCATGAGGTGCCTCGACCGGTGTACCAAGGCTTAAAGGCTTAGGGCGTCTCGCCCGCGGGTATCCCAAGAAATGCGAGTCTCTGAGACTAGAAACCCGAAACAATGGGGCATTTTAAACATGAAATACTGAAACTCCTACTACGCAGCCATAAATGCGAAAGCCGAAACTCAGGCCGCAGCGTGGTGGCCTGTTGCCAGGCACCTCGCTGTTTGTTTCTGGATTTGTTAAGGGTCTATTGGCTGAGCATGCAGATGGAACGAAATTGCTCTGCTTGTAATGCACTGACTGCACCGACAGTAAAATAAAATCTCTGTGCCATGCGACCTGAGCAATGGCATTACTTGTCTGACTCCAACTCCTAACACTCTAAATTCGGTCCACAAAGAGCCTTCTGTCGGAGAAGAGGACGGTGATGTTGCTTCGACGGGCGACTGGGGCAGCGGGCGAGAGCAGAACTGAGAAGCAAAGACCGAAAGGTTGGGGTGGAGGGTTTCCCGGCCATGCTCCGACACATCCTTCTGCGTTCTTGCACATCTTTTGTAGTGCTCTTCTGGATACCCATCAATCCTGCGTACTGTCTCAGGCAACGGTGATGATGTGATTGATAGCGGGCTTTTCAACCATGACAGCATATTCATGCCTGCGAAAGCTCTGGCTTCTTCCAGGCCCCTGGCTTTGACTAAACCTGCATGTAAACTGGGTTGTGGACTCTAAACTTTGAAGCCCAAACTGTGACTTTATTACACAACCTTTCCAGCTCTGGACCCTCGAAACCTCGGAACCCCGTAGAGACCCTAAACTCAAACCGCCCAAGCCTCTGAGTCAGAGACTGGAGGATCCCAGGAGCTTTCGCCCGTCTCCTGGAATGACTTTTGCGAGGCTCCAGCTGCAGAATAAGCCCTTTCCAGCTGAGCGCTGCCCTGTCATGAGTTCAGAGCACGGGCTGAGGCTAGCAGGCTCACCAACTTCAATTGTGTTCCTACATGAACGAAGGGCCACACTGCGCGCCTCGTTCCAGTAGTACCACTGCCCGGGTGTCTCAGGCACCTCCCGATCGGCAGAAGGTTAGCTGCTTTGAGGTTGTGAGTGGGCACTTTATAGGCATACAGGGCCCTAGTGACGCACACGGTCCGGGCATGCCTTGGTGTTGGCATGCAAGGTGTATGTCTGCTCGTTTCGTTGATTTGGACATCGCGAATGGGGAGAGACTATTATAGGTCTAGCACAAAAGCGTTATCGGGCTCGCAGGACGTGGAGTTCGATGAGACCCGCAGTATGCACAGGTCTTGGTTTTACGTCGTGCCTCCTTCCACCCTTGGTCATGGGTGTATCCGTGCATGAGACAGCGGGCATGAAGCCAAATAGTCGTTGGCCCAGAACAGAAAATCCCGAAAGTAGCAATTGCCAGTCGCACATAGTACTTAACTGCGTACATAAATATGCAAAGGCCGATGATGTAGGGTAGACCTGTGTCTTAACTACAGCATACAAGGACGCGTGCATCATCCAGAACACATGTGGCCCTGGGTGAGTATGTGAGAAATTGGCGTGCAATCGATCCGAGCCTCCAATCGCAATGCCTGAGCCCGACTCCACGAATCCTGAGAAGTTTCCCCTTAAACCATAATTAGAGTCTGGTTCCAACCTATTCCACCGCTACACTCTACCGGCACGCCGTTGCCGAGGGTGGTGTGGTCCCCTTCGCGCATGCAAAGCCTCGACAAGCTGCCAGGGCGCCGGAGGCTCGGCAGGCCTCAGGTCGGCGTTGCGGTGTGTGGATTTCGGATTGGATGGGGCACTCCTTAATCTCTGAGGGTTGTAACTACTACCAGTGCGCTGCTGACGATGACAACTCTGACTGCTACTACTGTCACTAATGTCGCTATGCAAGCAGTGCTACTTGGAGGACTTTTTGAATGGCCTGACTGAGATGGTTGCTTGACCGGTAATCGCAAAGGCTGCTTCACAGTGTGCTTCTGCGCCTACGACGAGGGCCGGAATGCTCGCACACACACACACACACACAAGTATGAAACTGTGGCACGACGAGAAAGAAGGAGTTCTCGTTTCTATCGTGGAGATACCACCACATTGCAAACACTGCGATTGCATTTGAGGCTGCACGACGCACAAGCTGGGTAAAAACAAAGCATACACTAGAAGGTCAATTGACGAACATGCTTTTGCGGATCAGACCTGTGTCCAGCGTCATCTTCGCATGCATGTACGTGTCGGAAGGTGGAGAAGTCTTCTGGAAGCCACACTCCCGGCACTACTCCGGGAGGTACATGCCGAACCAAGTCATGCTGGGCCTGGGCAGTGTGGACTGGGAATAGGGGCTGGGAGAGTGGTTCACAATGCTTGATTTAAAAAACTGAAGTCTGATCAGCGGAAGTGGCATGGACATAGTAGAGAGATGTAGAGAGACGCACCGCAACAATAGAGACGTAACTACGTGTCAACAGAGACAGGGAATCACTGGAACAGGACCATGAATTAGTTCGTAAGTCAAACATACAGCCTCAAAGTGTTCCCGAAGCTGCATGCGTGCAAGTGGCTTGCCCGCACAGGCAGCTATCCGAGAGCGGCTTCTGCTCGAACGACACCGGAGCGAACTGAACAGAAGAGTAGAGATATTCGCACAAGGCTGAGCAAAGTGCAATGTAGTGCAAGGATATATGTTGGTATGATAACAGATGGTATACCACAGAGTACAGAGCTACATGTATCTTTATCTATCTCCTTCTATATATCTCATGGTGTTATACATACACATATATCGATAAAGATGTTGATAACATAGCAGATACACACACACATATATATATATATATATATATATATATGCAACAAACATCGATCCTACAAAAAGTACAGTACAGTATGACATGGTACAACGAAACATAGCAAACGTCATGTAGTGTAAAATAACATGACAACAACAGCATTATGAACATAAGTTACATGCATTTTTACATGTATACAGAACATATGGCAATGACCTGTAGGACAAGGTAGTATCTTGTAAGACTACAAATTATACTTTATGTGATACAACATCAGACATAACACACTGCCATTCTATGGAAAACAATGTATAGTAACATATAATTCACGATATTTCACGACAATGTAGTCTGCCATCCTAAAATACAATATACTAAGAATCTATTATGCTACCAAATATCATGTCACTTTTTTGCTCTTAACCTAGTTATCAACCTGTACCATTAGACGTTTACCACGGCCTTGACGGTCGGCACCCTATTGTTCAACATCAACCAGCTGAACCATGCTCTGCTTCAGCATCAGTCTCTTCAGCAGCATCATGAACTTCCAGCAAACCAGAACGAAGGCAGTCAAACATGACGAGCCGATGTACTCGTTGGCAAAATCATGCCAAGTTTCAACAGGACAACACATCCATGCTGAATGCCTCTGTCTAGCGCAATCAAATGCTCCCGGGTAGGATCCACCAAGGCGACAACGTGCACTACCAATCAACTGTGTGGTATGAGGCTCCTGAGGGACTATGGAGATCGAATTCGTATGACTTGGTATGCCAGTTGCAGAGATGTTACCTGGTAGACTATTAATGCACCCGAACATCAAAGCTGCTGCGCCTCAGCGACGCGACGGCGAGGAAGGTTGCACCTCCTGGATTCTATTCAAGCGGCATAACTTGCTTAATGAGCTACCTAAATGATGTTTCCAATTTTGGTGACTGAAACACAACGAACTTGCACACGAACACACACCTTGGAAGATGACGCTGGTTTTGTGTGAAGCTCCTTCAACATATAGTGTCTCGTAGTAACCTGATTATGACCCATGTATGACTTTGCACGGCTCCCAAGGAATATCGGTTTGTTTGGCTTGCACATTCCCGACAGGCCGAGTCTGATTGTCCTGGATCGAGGTGAACCGAAATGTGCACGCACCGCGCGAAGTTTTTGAAGCAGAAAACATCCCCAAATCGTCAAACTTCTGAACCTTAGCAGAACTGGGCCTGACAGGATAAGACAACAACTTTGAGGGCTTTGATTCATTCAAGCAGTGTTAGCAACACTCTATACATGTCCCGACGATGGTTAAAAACCATCACCGAAAGTAAGTCGAGCTCTAGAACTCAGCAACCGCAGCCCGAGCACATTCCAGCGCTCGATAATGTGACTCCCTGCTGCTCTTTCACTCATGGGGATTTCTCAGTGTGTCGTCGACACACCGTGTGCTTGTGTTTGGCAGTCCCCCGCATCACCGAGGCATTAACATCCCGCTCCTCCCTGTGCGCGGAGCATGTGAAAACTTGCTTTTGCGGCCGGTGCTAGGGCCCCTACGTCGGACCCGCAGCCCTGAACACTTAAATCAACCGCACGGACCAATCGCAAGCCGCTTTAACAACGGAGCCCCAAAGAAACACTATAACTTCGAACCCTAGACCATGCAGCACATTGAGAACGCGCGCGCATCGGACTCCCTAATTCCAACCCCCAGCGCCTGAACCCTAAAGCCCACAAACAGCTCCTAAATCCTCAAACCCAACACTTCTGTACTTCACCCTAAGCTAGAAAAGATGAGCTTCAATTTTGCCGAAGGCCTCTTCGGGCCGAGCTTGGCTGCGCGAAGCTCGCCGAGCGCTTGCTAGGCCCAGGTCTGAATCTCGGAACTCCTCTCCGGTCTTAGGTTTTGGGGTTTAGGTGTTAGGGTGAGGGCTCACTCTGCGACGAATCGAGAAAAGGAATACCCGTGATATCTATATTTACAGAAAGACACAACAACGACAGAAAACTACAGCGAAAGAAGATGCGGAATGATCAGTCACACACGCACACACACAGAGATAATCTAGCTAGCACAAGCGACAATCAAGTTTATCTGCAACAGACAAGTTATGCAGGAGTCGTGTCTGAAAGCAATTCCGATGCCAAACACAACGCGCGATGCTGGAACCTGGTGAAGTGGAGAATTTGGGGCTTGATGGTGCTGCTGTTTAGAGTCTAGTAGAGCTTGTTTAACTATGGACCTTCAGGATACTGTTCAGGTATTCGAGGAATTTTTGAGTACGCTTTTGCAAACTTAGCTTGAACACATTAACCCTTGGCATCCATTCGACCCGAGATGTGGGAATCGATGTGGGAATCATTAGACCGGTCTTTGCACTACAAAAGCGGCAGAGGCGCCAGACAACTCATTCTGGGCCCCTTCCTGCAGGAAGCACCATATTGCTGGTCGAAGTCATAGATCGCAGATTACTAACTAATTACAACCAGAACGACAAAGACTCATGTTTAGGCACAGTCTGCAAGCTCGTCCAGAGTTCGCAAGATTGCACAGCATGGTACTAGTCAGTTACGTGCAATGCTAAAAGCCATGGAAAAGAGCGCTGGCTCGTGTATTCCGTATGGACTGATTCGAGAAATCCTTGCTGCCTTAGAATAGACAACTATGACCAGCCATGCAGTAGCTGGTCGCCAGGGTCGTAGTCCCGGTAAAGAACCCCGTTATACCCCGGTGAGCACGAAGCCCGGCCTCTGTTTGCCTGTCTGGCCATCGGAACCAGCATTCTCACAAAACAAGCGTCCCGAAACTTGCCAGGTCTACTGCAAAGGCAAAGCCGCAAGATAGCGTACGTAGTGAATGTAGCACTCCGCGATCATGGACCGATGCGGCTGGGGCTGGCAAATCTTTGACTTGGCTAGCTTGCCCCTGAAGCGACTCGAACTCTCGAATCCTGGCAGTTCCTGCGAGGTGTCGTCTTCTGTTCACTGCTGAAGCCAACTTGAATCTATACATCCTTACGCGAAACCTTACGCACCAAGATATGGCCGCAAACTAAGTCCTCGGAGTGTGCCAGGACGGGACGCGGCAGTCCGGCCAACATAAGTGACCTTGCAAAACTGTCCACATGTTCCCGGGTGAATCAGCCCTGATGGTGCTGCTGGAGTTGAAGAGCCAGACCGCGACCACCTTGCACCACCCCTATCATCCCGCGACCCATGAACAATGGGATGTTCGCTTCATAGTCTGACTCTTATGTAAGTGCTGGAAATGCAATGAAACAATCTCCCCTGTGTCTGCCAGCCTGCGCTACGCATCCCAACAGAGCCCAGTAGTTGCAAACATGGCTGGAGAATCCATCCATGCTTTTCTGGATAGTTGCAATTGCAGGTAGTGGCTTGCAAATTTAGACAATGAAGTCCGAGCGGTTGGTGGTGGTCCTGGTTGGGTCACCGTCCATATGTTGCCGGGAGCTTTGGGTGTGCTCTTCAGCCTTGGGGAGATTGCGGCTCCGATTTTGTGATGCCATAACGCAAACTTCTAGTGCTGCTTGGCATCTTGATTTGTGGAAAGACTCAAATCTCGACCCAGCACCTGAAGCATACCTCTCAGATTCATAGCGATACAAGAGCCAAATTTCACTCAATTACACCCAAAACACAACAACAAGTGCAATCAGTCACGGCCCAGCACCCTTCGTGTCTCTACCGAGCCACAGCCGAAGAGGGAACGGCATCCATAATGGATCAAGCGCGCCACGTGCACTGCACGAGGCCGGTGGGGATCCTTAACCCTTCAGGCTCTGGAAGCCTGTTTGTTGAGGTTTACCGTCTGGGCTGTTTATGCTTCAACTTAACCGAAAAACCTGGCAAAAAGGCCGCTCTAGAAGGATGGCTCGGAACAAACATATAGCAGAAGTACAACCTGGATTGAAGAGCCCCTTTCATGACCGTGCCAGCTTGCTTGGCTACTTCACCCGAGCCAAAGCTGACGAGAATGCAGATTCGAGCACCCCAAAAATGTGGTGTCTTTCCTTGGGACTCCCTGGGCTGAGCTCAGAGTACGGGGATTCAGGCGTTTTGGGGTACCAGTGTTGCTAGTGTTCAGGTGGTTTTATGCTGAGGATTCCCGTGCTTGGGGATGCATTCAATCACATCCAGGCTTGGCGGAGAATGACATGGAGTTGGATTGCAATGCGGTTGTGCTGGCCGGAGGAGCATTCACTGTGGTGACTTTGTCTTCTTGGCCGAAAGCTTAGACTGGGCGTTCACCTGCGACATGGTTGGTTGATTTTTATTGTCAGAAGAATTCAGGACGCTTGATGCCGCATTCATTTGCACTGTCTATGTAGACACGACCACCCCTTGCCCCTGGGAAGTTGGTCACCATGAATACCACGTGCTGCCTCGTAAACCAAGAGGGCGATGTCTTTATCCTGCCCAGGGCTTTCGGCTTGGGAGTTTCTGGTCGGAGACGTACGTTGTTCAGCACATATTGCGCTAGCATGCACTTGCTACAGTGGAAGTGAGAGCCATCCAGAGTAGGGGTTAGAAGTACTCGCACTTGCCGTGCTGTTGATGGTGACAGTAGTTGAGGCAGAAGCAGCAGCAGGAGCAGGGGGAGGAGTGGCAGTAGCGATGGTGGTAAGAATAGCAGTAGTGGTGGTAGTGGTAGTGGTAGTGGTAGTGGTCGTGGTCGTGGTCGTGGTCGTGGTCGTGGTAGTGGTAGTGGCAGTGGCAGTGGCAGTGGCAGTGGCAGTGGTTGCAGCAGCAGCAGCAGGAGTAGTATTAGTAGTAGTAGTAGTAGTAGCAGTAGCAGTAGCAGGAGTAGGAGTAGGAGTAGGAGTAGTAGGAGTAGTAGTAGTAGTAGTAGTAGTAGTAGTAGTAGTAGTAGTAGTAGTAGTAGTCGTAATCGTAGTAGTAGTAGTAGTAGTAGTAGTAGTAGTAGTAGTAGTAGTAGTAGTAGTAGTAGTAGTAGTAGTGATAGTAGTAGTAGTAGTCGTAGTCGTAGCAGTAGTAATAGCCTACCTACGCTCAACTGTTCCTGCTCCTGCTGCTGCTACTACTACTACTACTACTATTACTACTACTACTACTACTACTACTACTCCTACTACTACTACTACTACTACTACTACTACTACTACTACTACTACTACTACTACTACTACTACTAGAAAGAACTACTAGAACTACTAGAACTACCAGAACTACTAGAACTACTAGAACTACTAGAACTACTAGAACTACTAGAACTACTAGAACTACTAGAACTACTAGAACTACTAGAACTACTAGAACTACTACTACTACTACTACTACTACTACTACTACTACTACTACTCCTGCTGCTGCTGCTACTACTACTACTACGACGACGACCACCACCAGCATTTCTTGTGGTGTTGTTCCTTTCGGCTGTTGTTGTTACTGCTTCTGTTGTCCGTCCTGCATGGACTCCAGGTGCTCGAAGCAGAATTCAAAGAGCTCGAGGTAGAACTGAGAACGGCTCGGACCCTCTGAAATGAAGCGCATCCACTTATCCGTGTGAAAGCATGAGACCTCTAGACCACTCCCCAACACGCAGAAAACAACGCGGTAAGTAAGTCTAGCCCATGCAGCCTTTGATGCCTTGATGGCCTTAGCGACACTCCCCTGATGGTTCAGCGATACTTACGACTGCTGGCAAAGCACCACCACTAACTAGTGGAAACAGCTACGAGGACTCATGGCAACCACAAGCTGCAATATTTCCCTAGCAAATCTCAACTCAGTCCGGACAGAACAACTACGGATTCTAGCGGATCGCGATTGAAGGCACGGTCGCATAGTGTTTCCAGACGAACCAGTGTGTACAGACCTATTCTCACAAGCAAATCAATCAGCTCTCGACCAGACCTGCTCGGCCTCAAACCTCACACTGCGAATCCCGTCTGAGCCGAAGGCTTCAAACCGTCCCTCTCGTTAGTCTCTACAATGCTACGGTCTCTACAGCCTTCTGCTAAACATGGAGGGGCTTCTCAGTCCAGGGCCGACTATGGCTTCAGCATCGGCAACCGTTTTTGAAGCTGCGGCTTGGGTGTAATTTCAGCAAGCCTCTACTGCAGTATAGCTTCGGGGTTGTCGGCTCAGGGATCTTCTGCCGTGCCTTCAGTGCTTGCAGGTGTAAAGTAAACATCTCAGCTCTTTGCCAACAGCCCCTGCCCCGTCGCACGGAGGACGCGCACGACGTCCGACACCGCCTTGCTGACACTCTCGTGGGCTGTTTCACTTCCGGAGTCTGGATGCATGGAAAGCATGCTGCAGCGGCTCTATGAGGCCTGATGGCCACGAATACCAAACTCCACAGCCGTAACACAACATGCGATACAGAAGTCTTATCAGCAATTTGTCTTGCAATATCAAACGATGATACATATGCATGTTCATGAATCACAACAGTGTAAGAGTATTCATGCTGCCCAACCCTGCAGCCAACATACTACACAGATGCAGCTCAGATGAGATTACAACAACCGATACTGCTGGTTGATTGATGGTCTCAAACCCCGTCTTGTGTTAAGTCGCCAAAGCCGTCATTCATGGACGATTCTTGCGATTCTAGCGCTGTACCAATGTCAAGTAATCGTATGTCGAACTGGCCAGCACCCGCAAATGGAGGAGTTCCGCGCTGCGTGAAATCTTGCTGAATGCACATGGGTGGCCCGCAACTCAAAGGAAAAACTAAGAATGCCGCTCAGAATAGCTATCTGACTTTTCAAGAACTGAACTTCAAGCCGTAAACTTTGGGCTTCCGTTGCCAACCCCCGAACGCGCAGCCTGAGCCATGAAACATTGACACCCGGAAACCTACAAACGCAGAACACTCGGGGTGTCCTGCGCTCCGGGTCTCGCGCGCACGTGAAGAGTGACCTGAGTGCACCGCTAACAGTCGACGGCTTCTTGAAGGGTTCACTAGGTTGCGTTGGTAGGCTGGTTTCTGATGCGGCAGCATGCCACCGCAGTTCGCAAACTTGCAAGGCTCGTCAAGAAACTGCAACATTGGCACGAACAATGTGGCAGCTCTAGGAGCGATGGTGGTATACAGTAGTAGTAGTAGTAGTAGTAGTAGTAGTAGTAGTAGTAGTAGTAGTAGTAGTAGTAGTAGTAGTAGTAGTAGTAGTAGTAGTAGTAGTAAAGTAAGTACACTTATCTCTCTGGAACACTGCAAGCACGCTGCTTGTCTGGACTCCCCGACCGGTGTCACGACCTCCCGCAAGGGGAGCCTGAGTCGCAAAGCCACGAAAGCCTCGGATAAGTCGGCGAGTTCCTTGCCAGGCAGGACTTTCAAGGGAAGGTTTCAGGCTTCATTTGGTTTCAAGAGTTGAGGACTTTGTGGGATGTAAGGATGAGATTCGGAGACGATAAAATTCACAATTGCTGGAATGTAGATAAGATAGGTTTATGCACGCTCTGGCTGCGAGGATTGCCTAAATACCTCACATACCCAAAACAAACACTTCCCAGTCCGGCTCTGAACTGCCAGTGGCAAACCCCGAACCCTAAATCCTGCGAAGTAGTGCTTGCAGCTATAGAATGGTAACGCTGCTGGAAAGCTGCTGGAGAAAACAAGGCAAACACAGTCCAAAAACATTCACCCCGAATTGCAAGGCCGAATATCTAATCCACCCCCCACGCATTCGTCCTGGACCCTGAACCCTAAAAACTCGATTTTCGAGCGCCTCCAGTGGAGCCTCCCTGGCAAGCCCCAGGCTCCTTCCAACCTCGGCGAGATGAAAGCGTTTAGGCTGCAGGCATGTGGGAAAATATCATACAATGTAGGGTTAGGGTTTTAAGCATCATCGACACCCAGCATAAAGGCTTGTAGCTTAGGACGTGCATAAGGTGGTCCACGGTTCAAGTTGCGATTAATGGGATCTGGGTGGGGCTTTGCAGGGACCCCACACGGTTCTTGTGCTGTTTAGTGCTGGTGAGCGAAGTGATCCTAACATGTCTGCGCTGCTCAGCTTGCTTGCGATGGCGCGACAGGAAGTGGAGGCCTCCGAAAGGTCAAAGGAACCATAAGTGAGAAAACGTAGCCTGACATCTGAGCATTCCAAACAAACCCTCACGTACCCTAACGCTTTCAAAGACCGTGAAGATCAAAGGCACATACCTGAGACCAAACTTTAGCCCCGGAGCAGCCTCGAATCAGAAGTCTGAGTCCCAGCCGGTGCTTTTTTACCTCTACTTTGAGAAGGTCCAAGGCCGTTCTTCAGCCTAAGCCCTTCGATCAAAGGTCTTTGAGTTAGCGGTCCCGCCTGCACCACTTCTGCAGGCAGGCTGCAAACCCAAGCTAACATGGGAGCCTCGACAGCTACTGCCGTGATTCCTGCAATAGTACCTACGGGCGGTACGCCCCTGCATGACACCTGCTTCAATATCGAAGCCCAGTGCTGCACTTCCTCGATGAACCCTGCTGCCCTGCTGTTCCGAACGCAGTTTCGAACGAAATCAAATATGGTGAGGGTTTCTGGAACTAGGTGGCGCTGAGGGAAAACCTTAAATACTGCGGCTGAAGCTCATTGGCATTGCTCGAAAGGCCTCTTTAATCCGAAGCCTTCTCGCGGACCTTGGTACAGTAAGCTCGTATTCGTCGTAATCATACTTCGACTCTGCACTAGCTTTCAGGTGCAAAACAAACCAAAACCAAGCAAGTCCAACACACCTACACTACACTTCATGGAGGCAATGCTTACCGAGGCCGATCCTCGGCAGTAGCCTGGAAATTAGGGCTTGGCCCCGGAATTCTATGTACAGAGGCATACTGATGCTGGCTTTTCGAGATTGGCACGAAAGACGGGACGACACAGTTGAAACAAGGAGTGAGAGATCCGACACCTGAACCCTCAAGAATTTGACTTTCTACTAAGATGTGTATTGCCCACGGGCTCCCGCTCGACTTCTGCCCCTGAATTCGTAACTGCACTACCAGAAAGAAAGCACCTATCATTGGCCTCGTCTCGCAGAAGCTCCAGGATTGTAGAAGCAAGAAATATATATGTTTGAAAATTTTGCGTGAATTGATCCCTGCTTAGATGCACCTAAAGCATGTTGCATCTACTGCACGCCATTTCACAACTGCCATGCGGCCATGGGTACATAAATGCTCCCGCCAGCCATGTCATATGGTTATACGATTCAGCAGTTGTCCGTCACTGTCAACGCCTCTACGCCTCTGTATTCTCTGCAGAGGCAGCATTGGCCTGGATCTCTGAGAGGAGCAGCTGGTAGGTCTCCTCGGTATTTGTCTGATGTGGCTCTAGGCCTGTGCATCCAGACTCTGCTAAGTCGGCCTGTGTTTGGCCTAGGTCTGGCTAGAAAGTCTTCTCTGAAGCTTGATTTAAGGATCCGTTCTTGGCTAGGGGCCTACACCAACAACGAGTCACAATTGTTCCTCGCACTGTAGGCTTTAGGTCACACTTTAGTATTAGTAGTAGTAGTAGTAGTAGTAGTAGTAGTAGTAGTAGCAGCAGTATTAGTAGTAGTACTACCAGTACTGCTGCTGCTATTGCTACGCTACTGCGACTGCCGCTGCTGCTGTTCCTGCTAATGCTACTGCTACTTCTACTGGTGCCACCTACTACTACTGAGCTACTACTACTACTACTACTACTACTACTACTACTACTACTACTACTACTACTACTACTACTACTACTACTAGACTACTATATACTACTACTACTACTACTACTACTACTACTACTGCTGCTACTGCTGCTGCTGCTACTACTACTACTGCTGCTGCTGCTACTACTGCTACTACTACTACTACTACTACTACTACTACTCCTACTACTCCTTCTACTCCTTCTACTCCTTCTACTCCTTCTACTCCTACTCCTACTCCTACTACTACTGCTGCTGCTGCTACTACTACTACTACTACGTCTACGACTACTGCAACTATTACGACTACTACGACTACTACTATTACTACTACTACTACTACTACTACTACTACGACTACGACTACTACTACTACTACTACTACTACTACTACTACTACTACTACTACTAATACTACTGCCACTCCTCCTGCTGCTGCTGCTGCGAGCAGTAGTACAAGTAATAGTAAATCTACTTTCGGCATTAGCAGTAGAGCTCGCAGTGACAACAACACAGATATGAGGCACATTCCCAGCTCGTGCACAGATAATGAAAACAATGGTCAGAACATCGCCTCAACATGACCTGCAACTTCGATGCCAATCGCAATGTGGGGAAGTGCAATACATATGAAGGAGACACAACACAAGACAGGCCAGGATCAGCTGCTGCGATGCTCGCCATTGATGCACGTGAGTGACTTGTAAAAGGTTGCAACCCAGACACATTTCCACTGTTTTCTCCCAGAACCCACCACTCCCAAACTCTGCCCACACCTACGCAAGTCCAACGCTATGAGTTGGTTCTACACGGGGCACTACAGGGGCCTGCTGGCAACCAAAGGTATCTGTTCGGAAGGGCCCACATTTTCCAGACCCATGTGCAAACATGAATCAATCTCTGTTAAGCCTGCATGTATGGTTCGTGCGACAAGGACTAACTAAGAAGGGAACGCTGCAGGGAATGCGACGGAACACCCCTTTTGTTGATGATGTTTCATGTCTGAACTGAAGCAACTTAGCATCGGCATGGACACAACGCATGTTTGGTTCTGAAGATTTTGGCTCTTGCAGAACAAGATTCAAAAGCTTATACCCCGATCAATCTTCAAATCCTCAAGTCTCTGCATGCGGAGGAGATTCCTGAAAGGCCTCCTCCTCTGTGCGGCTCCTGACTACCAACTCGCCCGCATCGTCTTGGGGTTTAGGACATACGGTGCCAAGCGAGAACATTCGTGGTCTGATCACCCCCCTGACTCTCGAGCAAACTTGGCTCATCACATGCTGGGATATCGCTATCTTTGGCATGTTTGATGGAAAGTTCATGTCGTTGGGGGGCCTCAGTTAGACCTTTGAGCTGCCGTATGTGTGGCTTGTCTTCCAAAGGGTACGAGGAAGATGTGATTTCCAGCAAAGCTCTCCGCCGGAAACTATATAATCCTAGCACAACCCCGCAAAGCTCTCCGCCGGAAACTATATAATCCTAGCACAACCCCGCAAAGCTCTCCGCCGGAAACTATATAATCCTATAAATTTGTTCCCGGAAAGTAATTACTCCGCCACGCTGGCCACGTAAAATGGGTCTTGGGGCTTTCCGCCTCTCCGCGGCATACATCTATGTTATAAGCTGCATGTCGAAACTTTCGGCCCGGTGGTGTATGCCCGAATCCAGGAAGCCCAACATAAACCAAAAACCCTTCAGCTTGCGCCAATTCAAACCCCAAATACTCAACCTCAACCTTAAATTCTACGTGCGTGCGATCAACAGCCCCTGCGCACAGATGACACGCATGAGCTGGTACCGTCCAGGCTGCTTTTTGGCTGAGAAAAAAGTGAACTGTGAGCTGACGTGCATTCGAGGGTAAGACTAGGTTCTCCCAGCACTTCGAGACACTTGTGAGCTCGTTCAGTGGCATCATTTACATCTCGATCTTTCATTACACGTAGGTTATCAGCCGTAACGGCTTTAGGGCTATCGGTGTTTTAGAATACGTCAGCAACTGAAGTCTTCGGGCCATGGATCCTGTCTCGAGGAGACGTAGAAACCAGAGGTCTGAGGAGCCAGCTGCTTCGGATTATGACAATGACTTTGACTACCAAGCAGCCTTGAGCCACGCGAATCCTGTAAGCTTCTTTCCCACTGGGGCGCTGAATGTGGAAGCGTCCCCTAGTGCCCTGGAGGCTGGGGTTGCACCGAGGAGTGCACCGGAGTTGGAGCAAGGGTTGATGGCTAGTCCCTTTCATAGTGAGAGGGTTAAAGCGGAGGTAAATCTTAGGAAGAGTCGTCCTCCAACTCTGGACGCTGATGCTGGCAAGCTGAGGGCAGAGTATGATGATGCGGCCCTAGGGAACATGGGGGCTAGTGGCCTGGCTATGGAACCTGATTATGGGGCGCTAGGGCAGAGCTCTCCGGCATCGGTTGGGCCACGGGTGGCTCGAGTTGAGACGGTGGATTCGAGGATTGCTGAAAACCCTACAGCTTCAGAGACTTTGATGAAGTCAGGGGCGGCAGACGCCGCTGAGCCCAAGTTTGAGGCTGCGGGTCTTGGTGAGAGCGATTTGCTGGGTTCTGCCGACGAGCCTGCTACGGGCTTTCGTGATCCGGAACCTTCAAGGATCACCCCGGAAGATTCTCGTGAGTTAATCCCTGAGAGAGGAGATCGAATGTCTAAGCTGGAATCCCTTTTAGAGAGGGCTTTGGAGGAGAACAAGGAGTTGAAGAAGCGGCTCCAAGCGGAGTCGGCGTCTTCCTGGCATAGTGCCAGGACTCCGGGGGAGCTTCCAGCTTCGCCTGCCTCTTTTGCAATGGGCCAGCACTATGCTTGTGCCGGTCCTCCGAATCTGCAGGGTGTACAGGTAGATCCGTGTTTCATGAGAGATTTCCCGAGCTCTGGAGTAGGGCATCCTGTAAGGCCATTCGAGTTAGGATCTGGTGTTACGGAAGAGCAACACTCTCTGGTGAGGGCACGGTTTCCTCCTTCGAGGTTCTATGGACCATGCGGGGCCCTGGGGCCTGAAGGGTTTGAGGGTTATCGTTTCAGCGAGGGCCTCTCTAGGGTCGGGTCTGGTGTTAGTGGTGAACTGGGCCAGGGGATGAGAGTTTGTCCGCCCGCGTTACCGTTGCCTGTGCATGAGGGTAGGATCGCAGATGTGCCTGAAGTGCCTGCCACCCACGCTCAGTCCATGAGGCAATTCGCGGAGGGGGTCTTGAATAATGATCAGGTCTCGAGGGGGTTTCATACTCCTAGGTCTATGGGTGGGGATGGTTTGGCCTATCCGGTTTCGCCTGGAGGGACGGTGATTAGACCTCCTCCGGGGCCGCCTCCTGTGTCGCCGCGACTTAATTCGGGCCTGGACGTTGGCCAAGGAAGTGCAGGACATGGGACTGTAAGTATGGTTCCGGGAGGTAGTGGATTCAGGGCTGAAGTGAGGCCAGAGGAACCTGCTAAGTACATTTCTGAGGTCCCTAAACTGGTGCAGGCGGATCTAGCGAGCTCTGCAGTCGTCTGTGGTAACTGGCTGGCCCAGGTAAGACAGGTGATGATCGGTCTTTCGCCTAGTGCATCGGAATGGTGGAAGGGGGTAGAGAATCCAGCGAACCTTGCTTACCAGAGATGGCTAGTTGCTAACCCTTTGGGTCGCTTGAGTATCGATCCCTCCTCGGTGCAGGGGGAGTTTGATAAGCACCTCTATAGCAGGGTTGAAAGTCGATCTGTCAGCTTGTTGCTGGCGGCTGTGCCGCAATCCATCCGGGATGACGTGGTGACCAACAGGTGGCTTGCGTCCACCTCCATCCTTTTCCGAGTGCTCTGCCTTTTTCAACCTGGAGGTTCGAGCGAAAGATCCCATTTGCTTGCCCAGCTCGTGAGTCCTAGTGTGTGTAAGTCATTTAGCGAAGCGGTGAAGGGACTACGCACTTGGCAACAAGGGCTCCAAAGGGCAAGTGAAATACACGCCACACTGCCGGACCCGTCGCTCCTGTTACGGGGTGTAGACAGCGCTACGTCAGCCCTGTTGGCCGCTTATCCGATGATCGGTTTCAGGGTGAACGCGTTTAGGCATCAACTAGCCATAGATTACAACCCGTCTGTGGCGAGTGTTGTCCAGCTTGTTCGTCTAATCCAGGCGGAATGTGAAGCCGCAGCAATCACGGCTGAGGGCCAGGCTGACAAGCGAGCAGCTAAGACTGCTGCTTTAGGTGCGAATCGCGAGCAACCGAATCCTAAAGCCCCTCCGCCTCCATCTCCCCCAAACCCACAGGTTGCTGCTGTGAGTAGTGGCCAAGGGGAAGGTAAGGATAAGGGCAAAGGGAAGGGTAAGCAGGAGGAGGGGTTGCTTTGTCACAAGTTTGGGGATGCCTCGGGGTGCAAGTTTGGTGATAGTTGCCGGTTTAAGCACGATCGGGCTAAGGCTAGGCGTGAGGGCCGTTGTTTAGCCTGCGGACAGAAAGATCACTTCAGACCGGAGTGTCCGCTTGTGGCTCCGGAGAACCGAGTGGTTCAGGAAGGCACTTCCTCTGCTGAAGCTTCGCCGAAGACCGGGGCTCCTGGGGGAAAAGGGGGAAAACCTAAGGGTAAGCCTAAGGTTGCAGCTCAGGCCAAGGGTATTGCCGAGGATGCGTCAAGTACCGAAGCCCCAGGAGCCGCCGTGAATTCTGCTTCGACGGTTGCGTCTGGGGGTCAGGAAGCACTGATAGCGGAAGCCGCTAAGCTCCTAAAACGGGTATCGCTGAAGCCTCTAAGACTTCTGGGAGGGTTGATCTGTCTAGGGTCGATGCTTCCTGGCTGCTCAGTGTTACGGGGGTCTCCGACTGCAGTTACGCCCTAGTAGACAGTGGTGCGACTAACGCGCTACGGCCGGCCGAAGGAGCCGAGCTAAGCGCTGGCAGAATCATTCGGGTAGACTTGGCAAGCGGCACCGCAGAGTTGCGGATCAACGATTATGGCACCCTCCTCCATGCCGGACAGTGTCAGGTTATACTCCCGGCTGCCTACTTAGTAGATCTAGGGTTCACCATTGCTTGGCGGAGGAAGGGATGCATCATCAAGCATCCCAAGAAGGGCCGTCTAGAAGTAGTGGTAGTGAAGGGATGTCCTCTGATTCCTAGGGAGGTAGGGCTAGAGCTATTGAGGGAGTACGAGGCTTTGAGAGAAGTTGACCTGAAGGCTGCTAAGGTTGAGCTTGCTGAGGTAAGTAGGCCCATAGACAAGCGGGAGGTTCGGAGGTGGTTGAGCGAGCGCGTGGGGGTTCGAGAAAGTGAGCACCTAGGTCTTAGTTATGGGGACCAGCTCGTATACCTTCGAAGCCTGTTTCCAGAGATCCCTGAAGCTGTGTTATCTGAAGCTTGCGTGGACAGTAGATCTCTCACCCCCCTTGATTGGTCAGTTTTTCCGTGGAACCGACGTTTGCGACGGTCGATCGAGAGATCGGCGCAGGGTTCTGTGCTGGTGAATTGCTCTTGCAAGAAGCAAGGGTGGAAGGGTCTAGGTAGGACCCTCCATGTCGGGGATCGGACTACTGGTTTGGGGTCGAAGGAGGTGTTTGGGTCTATGTTACGGTGGGCTCGGCTAGGGGTCCTTGGAGGTTTTGTCTACGAAAGACCCTCCGATTCGGAAGTAGCTGAAGAGGAGGACCAGGGCCTCGTAATGCAGCTTCGGTTGTTGATCTTGCATGGGGTCTCTCAAGCGGTGAGGGATGGGGCAAGCCCGATCGGTGGTGAGACCACCGTAGAAACCCCTGAAGGAAGAGAGGAGTTAGATGAATTACCCGAGGATTTGACCAACCCTGATCAAGTAGCTTTGTGGGCTTTAAGAAGGGCTGCTGATCGGATTGAGAAAGCCAGAGAGGGGAAGAAGGCCCAGGGTCAGGAAAGGCTCCGACCTTCAGTGTTCCTGGTTTTTGACAGCTCATCTCGGCTTGATGTTGCCGGTGGGGGGCGAAATGCTCCTTGTATCAGGAACGAGGATCTTGTCGAATGGCAGGATGTTTATGATCTCAGCAGAGCTGGCTTTGATCAGGGTTGTCTTGGAGCTGCGGAGGCTCGGGCTACGGAGCTTATTACCTCTTCCTGGTATCTGTTCGAGAGCGTACAGGGTTGGAGGGTAGCTGCGGGGCTTGCTGATTATCTTCGGTCGGTAGGACTAGTGCGAGGGGATCCTGCAACGGAAGGGT